TCAATGTATGTATGTAGTTTCTGAAAAATCAAGAAAGACAAACTTAAATTGAGAATAACTTAAAATGACATGTCTTTAGTTGCTATGTGTGAATATTTTGAGTTTATTATTTATTTTTATTTTTGAAGCTAAAACTTTATTATTTCACATCTTAGGGGGTGTTATTGGTTTGTGATTTAAATAGAGTTTTAGTGACTTTAAATGTTATGTAGAATCTGTTGTTATTCAATCAAGATTTTTAAAAAGTTTGTTAAAGTTTGGTGTTATTAGTTTAAGATTTGTAAAAAGTAATCTAAAATCTTCATAAATCTGGAGTTATTGGATTCAAACTTTTATAAAGTCATTAAAAGTTTTGTGTTATTCAATTACAACAAAAAAATCTATGATTGTTAATGAATTAAATTATTATGTTATTGGTTTATGGCTTTCTACACTTTTCTTCACAAAACAAAGTCATGAAAAGGATCATAAAAATAAAGAGATTGTTTGGGAAACTTTACAAGATTATGAAATACTAATCAACAAGATTATAGAAAACTCTCAAAAACTCTCTAACAATAGTTTAGAATCTTTCATTTGTTTACTTTCTATGATTTTATTAAACTCATCAAAATTTCCATGTAAATTAGGAACCAATAACACCCCCTTAATCTTTAAAACTATTTTTTTTCCCGTACGAAGTACGGATCTAATACTAGTTTGATATAATCTACTTGAAAATGAATATACTTGAAATATATTTACTGAGTAAGAAATAGAATAATAGGTTGAAACAAAATCTAACTCCATAATGGCTACCTCTAGTTTACAATAAATATAAAGTAATGGATTGGAGATGTATTAATGCGAGGTTGTATCAAATCGAAAACGAGTACACGAAAACAAAGATCTCGAAAGCGTAGACTTGGATTTTTGATTAAAAAAATTCTGGAAACGGATACGTCTTGAAAGCGTGTATATATAAAATGAAACACTAAACATCACATAATATTTTAAAATTATAATGAACCCCACAAATCTAATACATAGATTTTAATATAACTTAACTAAAAGTAAAAGTTAACTAGTTTTTTTTTCTTTTAAATAATTATCTGCATTCTCATTTTTTCTCAATTCCATCAGACAAAATCGTTTAAATTTTGTGTTATGAAGAAAGAAAATCATCAAACTCTAGTTTTTCAAAGTAAATTTAATTCAATTAATCACAATTTTGTGTTATGAAGAAAGAAAATCATCAAACTCTAGTTTTTCAAAGTTAATTTAATTCAATTAATCACTTCCGACATCACTCATATGACTCATACATGTACCATTTTAAGTGATCTCTTTTTTTTGTCAACAGTTGTTTATAAATTCCTCTCAAAAGAGCCAACTCTGAAAAATATTGTTTACATATGTTGAGAGATGCGGTTTGGTATGGATTTTCCATGCCAAACCATACACTTTAACATTTTCTATACGAGAAACTAAAGATTAAAAAAAAAATAGAAAACTCTTCTCTGTTTTTTTTTTTGGTGGGCAACCGGGAGTAATCCTCCCGAGTTTTATTAATAAAGAAGAAACAATTACACCATCACTCGTCTAAGACGAGGAGGACCAAACATATCGTCTTGTATGAACTCATCAACAATCGATGAAAAAGAATGAAAAGCATGAAAGCCTAAAGGCAAACTAAACGCATAGTTCGCTAACCCGTCGGCGAGACGGTTAGCCTCTCTATACACATGTCAGATTCGGACTATCCAGTCCTTCGAAAGAAAGTCGTAGCACAATCGTATTAGGAATGACAGCGGGTGCGAACCCCTTATCCCGGATTTCAGAAACTCTACCACCATTTCTGAATCAATCTCCAACTCCAGTCTCGTAATACCCCTCTCCCAAGCTATGAACAATCCATAATACACTCCCCCAAAGTTCCGCAATAGGCGCCGAACACCGCCCTATATTTAGTGCAAATCCACCACACCATTCGCCGACTTCATTTCGTAACACTCCCCCAGCCGCAGCCAAACCCGGGTTTCCCTGAGATGCCCCGTCAGTATTTAACTTGAACCAGCCCGACGGAGGCTTAGTCCATTTGATTTGTTTCTCAACTCGACCCGGCCTTTGTACCACTTCCCTGCTTCTTCCTTGAGCAGCCAATATCTCCGTGGTTAGTTCCTTGATAAACCGTACTCTATCCTTCCATAACATGTTCTCTCCAAACACGTTACCACACCTCCATTTCCAGGCCCACCAAACTGCTACCGCAAACATTGTTGGCCATGAGCCACTCTCCTCATTACCTCCACCATTCAAATTGTCATACATCCACTCAAGTAAGGATGCATTAAAAAAGTCCCGCCTCTTGTTTCTTGGTACAATCCGAACCCAAATCCCCACCATTGCTTGGCAGTCACGAAGCACATGTAAAATTGATTCAACTCCACTCTTACACACAGGGAAAATCTCGGTATCACACAAGTGTCTTTTGTATTGCTCCTTGTTTGTCATGATCACCTGCTGACCAACTAACCAAAGGAATACACGTACTCTCTCTAGAGCAATGACACCCCAGATTTTGTCATAAAACTTAGCCATATCTTGCTTTGGTGTGTCATCTCGAGTTAACAAACGATAAGCTGACCTTACTGTGAACTTATCATCTGCCGTCTCTCCCCAAGACAGCCTATCTTTGGCTCTTGTGACAGTGTCCAACACAACTGCTGCCAACTCCAGCCGCCGATTATGTGACACATAAGGCACAATCTTATTCAGATCCCAGCCAGACCCGTTGCTCCATAAATCCCTTGTTGTCCACGTCAAATACTCCACAGGTAATTCCGCTGTGATTGTATCCCTCGCCATCAACCATTTGTCTATCCAGAATCTTATAGTCTGACCATCACCAACCACCCAACTGTCCCTTGTGCACCACTTCCCGAAGTCCAATTCCCACACTTCTCCATGTGGAAGACCAGTTACTCTAAACCTTAGTCCATGTGTGATCTTTTATTTCCCCGACTTTATATTTACTCCTGACCACTCTCACCCAAAGACTAGACTTATCATTCAGAATCCTCCATCCCAACTTAGCAACCAACACTTTATTCATTGTACCAGTCGTGCGGATACCTAAACCACCCTCCCTTTTAGGTAAACATACGGTTTTCCATGACACCAAATGCAGCTTCCTCTCCGTCGGGCTGCTACCCCACAAGAAATCTCTCAAAATCTTATCCAACTTGTTTATAGTCGAAGTTGGGAGCTTAATAGTACTCATTGAGTGGACCGGTATCGAGGACAGCACCGACTTTTTAAGAGTGATGCGACCTGCCAAACTCAACATACGGCCTTTCCAACCTGCTAGTCTAGAAGACATCCTTTCCAAAATACCACCAAATGTCTCTTTATTAATTCTTTTCTGAAGAATAGGCATCCCTAAATATCTTCCCAAATCTTTTGTCGACTTAATCCCGCTCTCGCCACTAATCAAATTTCCCAAATCTCGAGACACATTCTCCGAGAATAAATTTTTTGCTCCAAGCTCACTTTCTGTCCCGACGCATTACAGAACCTCTCCAACACCCGCCGTATTACCCAGATTTGGCTAACTGAAGCTTCTGCAAATAAAATCAAGTCATCTGCAAAACAGATATGAGATAACTTTGGACCCCCCCCCCCCCTAGACAAGCTGATTGGTTTCCACTGCTTAGCCAGAACACTCTCCTCAATGAGATGACAAAGCCGTTCCATGCATAAGACAAACAGATAAGGTGACAACGGATCGCCCTCTCGCAATCCTCTCAACGGTTTGAAAGCCTCGGTTTTTTCCCCATTCCATAGCACACTCATAGATGGACCTGAAACGCATTGCATAATCCATTGCACCCATATATTAGAGAAACCCGCAGCCTGTAGAGTATCCTATAGAAAATTCCACCGGATTCTGTCGTATGCTTCTCTGTTAGAGTGATCTTTATATAATAAAATATGAATATTAGTATGCAAAAGTTGATCATCACAAAATTAGTTTTTGGGTTGTATTTTTCAAATTTTAAAATGGAAGCGCATGAGTTTTACAACAGATTTAAGAATGTATTTTTCTAAAGCTCCAGAAAAACGAAATTTCGAAAACTTCCGATTCTAGTTCCAATTATAGATCTTCGAAACAACTTTCGTTCGACCTAATGTTAAGGTGGTTTTTATCATCTCGTAAATTTTCCAAACGATTACTTCTCTAGTGGGTAAAAGATCACTTGAATTCCCAATTTTTCTGTCTCAAATTTTGTTTTGATGAAACGATTGAGGTTCCACAGTTTTTTCTTTTTTCTTTGCAACCTTGTGGTTCCACAGTTAATCAACACTTTATGACTGTTTAATCCCTTTTTAGTTATCGTTTAATATCAAACAATGACGTTTTAATAATAAAAAAATTCCTAATCGAAGTCAAAATTCCCCACAAAAAACCCCACGATCACTCTCTTCTCCGCCATGTTCGTCGCCGCTTCATCTGCCATCTCCGCCCACTGGAAGCATCATGTAAAAGTAAATCTGTCAGATTTCCTCGAGTTCATAGAGATGCTTAATCATTCACGCACCTGATCGGACCTCTCTTCTGATTTGCTGGAATCTATTTTCGAAAAATTAAGATTCGCAGATTTCCATCGCGCGAAGCTTGTGTGTTCAACCTGGAATTCGAGTTCGATACGAACAGTGTCCCGAAAAAGTGAATACTGTTTCCAGACTCTGAAGAAAACGTTTGTTTGCTTTTTAATCCAGAAGAAGACAGAATTTACAAAACAGAGAGTGACTTCTCAAAGATTCGATTCCTAGCAAACTCTGGTAAATGGTTTCTTGTGGTAGATTCTGGATTCAGTTTGTGTATTATAGATGTGTTTAACGAGAATAGGAGGATTGATCTTCCTCCTCTAGAGGCACTCTTATCAAGTAAATATAGTCTCAAGCGTGTGAGAGATAAGGAATTTAGATGGGGATTAACTAGTGGTTCTTGTTTGGAAATGAAGACTGATAATCTCAGAGGTCTTTTATGGGTAGATGAGAAGACGGAAGACTTCGTTGTAGTGTGGTTCTTTGACCCTGTTGGTTATTTATTCTTTTGCAAGAAAGGGGATACTCATTACACTTTCATTCCGTTGTATGACGATGTCCCCAAGCTGTTATCTGGCTTCAGTGATCTTGTACTTCGGTGTTACCGTCTTTACATTGCTACTACTCATCGTTGCGTTCGAGTTCTAGATTTGTCTGGACATCAAGGTTTCGAGGATGTCACTGGGAGTAACCCGAAGCCAATGTTTTCTCTTCGTAAATATTATGCTTCTTTTAGCATTGCCGTTACAATCAATAGCAGGAGAGGTTTTGTTAGTCGAGAGCACGAACTTTGAAAACCGTAGGAGCTTCCGTCTCTACAAGAAGGATCCTAATGCAGATCTAAATGAATACAGCCCTGATCTTCTTGAGGTCGATTCTGTTGGTGATGAAGCCCTGCTTCTCGACTTGGGTATTATCGTGCCTGCTAACCATACCATTGGTATCAAACCAAACACTATCTATTTCACCCGTCATGATCGTGCCCGTCTTCGTATCCCTTTTGATCTGGATATTTGTGTGTTCAATCTTGCAACCAACACCCTCAAACGCTTCCCTCAACTCGCCGGCCTAAATCTCAAGGATGCTCGATGGTTTCTCCCTTTCACTTGAAAGACTTGATTCCTGCTGAACCTCGGCGACTTTATTTGTGCTATTCTGAATATAAACTATGAAATTGTTGCCACTTGCTGAACCTCAAGGATCTTACTTGGGAACATTTAACTTTGTGTGAAATAAGTGTATATATAAGAGTTACAATAGTTCCCTGATCTCAAGGATGCTCAATGGGTTTTTCCTTGGGACTTTGTTCCTTTTAGAAGTTCTATGGCGAGGCGCCTTTTTTGTGTTTGTTTATTTCGTTTCGTTAATGCTTTTGAAATCACAATCATCACATATGAGTGCCTAATCAACTGAATTTAATAATGCATGGTCTAAAAAAGGCCATCTTTTTCACTCCTCTTCACCAAGGATTAAGACACAATGACTTGCAATTCTTTACTTTTTTTCAATCTCGTGTCTTGTGTTAACTAACAGAATCTCATTTCTACCATCATCATCACCATCATATTCTTGTCATTATTAGTCTCCTAATTACACGTTTTAGAAGACCAGCTTCGTCCCATGAACTCTTCACGGCTTATTCTTGTTCCCTGCAGTTTCCGCTTTTGCACTCTTTGTCGGAAACCAAACTAGGGAAGGCTCCATTTCCCTTGAATTCAATGCAGATTTCACAAGTTTTTCTGCCTGTAGAGGAAAGAACGATAAACACCGATACGCAGAAGTATGGTGTAAGGAATCCAAAGCAGAAAAACAAAGACGATCAAAGAAGTAATTAGAATTATACACATTCTTGCCTACGTTATCAGTCTCTAACTTTTGTTTTGGTTTAGCTGAGGCAGACCAATGAATATTTGTTAAATATAACGATAATGAATTATTAGTTTGGGGAATTCAACGAATAGAAGAAACAAAGGTCCAAATATTTGTTAAATACATTGGATATATTATTCACATGATTTTTTTCATGCAATTGTAATTCACAACAAACATCCGTTAACATCCACTATCGAAACATCTATCAATAAAGAGAATTAGACAACTGGTACTTTAAAAACTACTGCAATCGGTATGTTATATACCACCATAAGTGTGGAAGTAACTAGTAAGATTCTGTTGTGTGAGTTGGATTATTTGTAAGTTGGTTTGAACTAAAAAAAAGTCTAAATTTTTTAGTATAATGTATGTAGAAACTATCTGAATGTCGATATTTGATTGAGTTTGTCGAAGTAGAAGTACAGGTATTGAAAGATTACAAAGCCTAAGATTACACATGATTGACCGTATCGGTGAAAAGTGATTAACCTCCCCTTGTTGCTCCTCATCCCTTTATAGGGGTTTTCATCGTATCTTTGACACGATCTCGGTCATATGTATCACATTGCCAAATTTTATCGATGTCGTTTCCGTTATAGTCTTCAACTTTTTATGTGGTTTTCTATAAAAAAGAATTTAAAAAAAAAAAACAATATCTTTACTTTTTTTTCACAAAAACAATATCTTTACTTCTTTTTTTTTTTTTAATACCCACACCACACAAATATATAAAAAGCGAATACTAGCAAAAAAATTAATCCATAAAAATTGAATCAAAATTTTGTTATCTTGACTAAGAATTAAAACAAATTAACGAAAGTGTAGTAAAATAACAATAAATAATAAGCTCTCATAAAAAAAATTTTAAAAATAAAAATATATTTAAACTTCAATTGTTAAACTATACTAATGTTTACAATCTCTTTTGATGTTTTAAGTATATTAAAAAAAATATCTCTCTCGAGCAAAACCTAGCCGCCGAGAAGAAAGTTCTTTGCCATCTCAGATCTGGCCTTTCCGGCCTTCGGTGCTTCTCGCCGGAGCTGTGAGAGGGTCGTTTTGTTGTTTAATTTCTTGCTTGTTGCTCTGTTTTTATTTTTCTAGTAGTTCTGATTTTGAAGAACAAGATGCGAGGAGTGGTTTATCTTTCTTCTGTGGATCTTTGTTGAGGAGCAGCGGTTTGATTATTGCTCCTTTGGTCTTGTCTCTTCTTTGTCAATTTTATTACTGGCGTTGGTTGCCTTTGTCCCTGGCCTAGGTGGCTTCCTATGCACCTTTGGTTGGTTTTGCTTCCGGCGACCTTGGCTTCTTCAGCAAGGTTAGTTCGGCTCTGTTTCCGGCGATCTCGGCTTTGACAGCGAGGTTGTTCGGCTTTGCTTCCGGCGATCTCGGCTACATCAGCGAGGTTGTTCGACTTCTGTTATGGTTTGGGGAAAGAGAAGCAGATTGTCGAAGTGGTTACTTATCTTTCAAGCCTTTGGATTTCAATAGTTCCAGATCTTGCAGAAGTTTCGGGTGAATTGAATTGCACTCATGGCTCCGTCAGGTCGCGCGTTAAGTGTAAAAGTTTCTGGGACGGGGGTTAAGTGAGAGATTCATTATTCCCATCTTAGTTCATTTATTTGGAAAATTCTGCTGGTTTCCTTTCTCTATTAAGGTTCTTGTTTGTTTGAACGGTTTCATTCGAGATTGCTAGAATCAAGGCTTAGCTTCTGTGGCTATGGTCTTTTTGGGTTTGTTTGTACTTCTTGATGTGTGTCCTTCTCTTAGGACTTTGTCACCGGGGAATTGTTTTCCGCCGGTTTTCGACTCGGAACTCTTTGTTTACTTTTTCCAACCTTAAGTGTTTTTCTAAGGTTTAATAATAACAAAAGACGATAAAAAAAAATACTAATGTTTACAAATGTAGATGATGATATTCTCATACAATTGTTTGTCCAGGAGCTAGATGCAAAAACAATTCCGAAAAAAAAGAAATCCCTCTTTTGGGCATAGGACCCTCTTTTTCTGTTAGAGTATTCCAATCTAAAGAAAATAGAGCATCTGTCTGGAAAAAACACTTTCCCTTATTGCTAAACTCACCGTTTTAGTCCTTCTGTAAACCTATTGTGCACAATCTCTCTCGGCGGCTAGGGTTTGTTCTTCAGGTCTTCTCGCTGTTCTTCCCGATTTGTGTTGATCTGTGTGGCTTTTATCTTGGTTGCTAGCTGGTGGTCGGTCTTCTCTTCTCGGGCTAGCGGGTGCTGTGATTGTTCTCTCTTTGTGGGTTGGCGAAGTTTCTGGGCTCGTTCCGTTTGTTTGGTTTTTAGCTCGGTTGCTATTTGTGGTCTATCATCTATGTTCTGGGTAGCGGTTGTTCTGTTTGCTCTCTTCTTGTTGGTTGACGAAGTTCCTCAACTCATTCCTCGCGGTTCTTTCGGGTTCAGTGGCTTGGAAGTATGTCGGCTGCAATGGATAAGGCTCTAATGGCCATGTCGTTGGATGAAGTCGATGCTCGTTTTGAAATGCCTGATCTCCCTCAATTCAGTTCTTGTGAGAAGAATGTGTTAAGCTTGATTGGTCGGTTGTTGAATCCTCAAAGTCAGAGTATGTCGAATTTGGTGTACAATATGCCGAGAAAGAGGCAAAAGATTGGAAGAGTTCGTGGTGTGGCTCTTTCCTTGGAAAGGTTCCAGTTTATCTTTAAGTCTGAACATGATCTTGTGGAGGTCCTTGAAAAGGGTTTTCAGACTTTCAATGAATGGGGATTGGCGTTGGAGAGATGGACGCAAGTCCCTCAACCGGATTCTCTGCAATTTGTTGAGTTGTGGGTTCAGATTCGTAATATCCATGTTAACTACTATACGGAAAAGGCGATTACTCTATTGGGTGATCTAGTAGGTCAAGTTGTGGAAGTAGTTTTCGATCCGGTAAGATCACAAATCAAGGATTTTGTGCGTGTTCTGGTGAAATTTGATGTTTTTGGACCCTTGAGAAAATCAAAGGTTATTAATCTGCCTGGAGGTCTCTCTACAACAGTCTACTTTTTCTACGAAAAAGTGCAGAAGAGATGTTATAACTGTCAACGTTTGACGCATGAAAAAGATGATTGTCCTCTGCTGCTTAAACAAATTCAGGATCAGGTTTTGGACAAGAAGATGGGGAAAAAAGTTGATAAGTTAAAGCCTCCTCTGGTTTTAAAGGAAGGTGATCCATTATTTGGTGTGCTCAAAGAAGAACAGGTCGGTATACATCCTCTGTTAGGTAGACCGAAGATTGCTCCTGATGTATTGGAAGGTATGAGACAATATTTAAAGATTGCTTCAAGAGAAGAGCGTAAACTTAGAGAGGACAAAGTTAAGAAATCTGTTGCTGAAGCAGAAAGTGATCCTATTACTCAAAAGACTGTCCTTCGTCTTGAACCTTCACCCTTTGTTTCCTATGATCTGGATAAAGGAAAAGGTATTGTTTTTGGTTATGAATCATCAGAAGCTTCTTCTAAGAATCTGTCTCCATCTGTTGGAAGTCAGAAATTTATGGGTGCTGCAATTTCTGCGGGAAAGAATATGTCTCAGTCACTGGTGCACCAGTCTTTGTCTGATGGGTTGGCTCTAGTTGATTATTCTATTTCCTCCTCTTTCTCTCAACCTTGTTCAACGGCTTATGAGGTTGGCTCTTTCGAAGCCAGCCCTTCCAGATCAAGGCAAAGAAGGGGTAGAGGAAGGAACCGACCTTATGTTAGTAAGAAGAAGCAAAAGTTTGGGGCGGTTCCAATGGGATCGACTGAGACATCAAAGAAGGATGGGTTGCAAGTGGGGTTGCTGGATAAAAGGAAAGGAGTAATGACTGATGGTGATAACAAAAAAGTCGCAAGGCGCAAAAAACAAGAGATGGTCCCAAATGAGGGACTGTCCAACATCCAATGAGCATAATGAGTTGGAACTGTCAGGGCTTGGGGCGGCCTCAAGATTTGACAGTTCAGCGTCTCATGGAAATGCGTAAAAAACATTTTCCTGAGATTTTGTTCCTGATGGAGACGATGAATGTCAGAAATGTGCTTGTAGATATTCAGGTTTGGCTGGGTTATGAGAAGGTTTTTACAGTGAATCTGGTGGGCAGATGCGGTGGTTTGGCTTTGTTCTCTAAGAAGGGAGTGGATATTAATTTTTTGTTTGTGGATAAGAATATCCTTGACCTTCAGGTAAATATTGGTGGTTCTAATTTCTTCATTTCCTGTGTCTATGGGAATCCGAATAATA